TTGGGTTCGTCCATGTGTAGCAACGAGAGGTAGACATTGCGTTGGAGATGTGTGGGGAACCAGGGTTCGAGGGATGCGGCGTTGGCGGCTTGACGCTTGCGGTAGAGGTTGGTGAAGACTGTAAACGATCCGGCGAGGATACCGATGTAAGCGATGGGCACGGTGAGCATTACCCAGTCGACCATGTCGAAGGGCCACATGGTGAATGTTGTGTGGGTTGTGTGTGGTTTGTTTGCGCGGGATGTGAAGAGGTATGACAAGCTCGCGGTGCGATGCAGGCGCTGACGCTAGAATATGAAGGAGCGACGGTGTTCTCAGTAGTGAGATATGGGGTAGGTGAAGACCAAGAGGGAGGGCGAGTCGCTGTTGTCTCACTTATCGATACATGCGAATATCTGTCCAGTTCCGCGCTCGACTAGCGTCCTTCTAGCGCGTCTGCGTCATCCATGTCCGCTCCGCTACAGGCGCCTTCTCGAATCAATCACCAACACCAACCAAGGTTCACCACTGCACCTCGCCTTTGTCTACTTATTTCTTCCGGTCGCGCTTCCCTCCCAAACCTCCTCCCTACAGCCTACCACCTGCATCACCTTTATCCACTCCACCACGAAATTCATAGCGTTCCGATCATGATATTGAGGGTATGTCTTTATGCCCAATGCAGGTGATATCTTACTCATTCGCACCAGTTTGTTAGCAAAGACGGCCAGTTCCGGTTGACGGTACAGCCCGAGGACACCTTTTCGTCGATTCTGCCCCAGGTTGCCGAGAAGCTGCCCAAGAATGTCGACATCCAGAGCATCAGTGTTAGCAACAAGCCGCAGGGAGGCGACGCGAGGAAGCTTGCTGGCCTTGAGGGCGTAAACTTCAAGCAAGTGGGACTATCGTATGTAGCTTACCCAAGCTCGTCTTCACAGCTAATGATACCGTAGAAACGGCGCGCAACTCTTCCTGTCCTTTGAGGAGCAGTCTGCGGCACCGAACGGCCATGCTGCACCTTCGACCGGCGGCGCACGACTGAATGGCAAACCCGTCGAAGAGATGAACATGGGCTCCGTCCCCATCGGCGATGCTTTGCAAACTATAAAGAACCCATGGGAGGTTGTCAGGCAGTCCCCGCTCGACGACAGGCTGGATAGACAGGATGGCAAAATCCCCAGGAAACGCGACGCCCGCATGTGTTCCCACGGGCCCAAGGGCATGTGCGACTACTGTATGCCCCTCGAACCCTACTCGCCCGCATACCTCGCCGAGAAGAAGATCAAGCACCTCTCCTTCCATTCATACCTCCGCAAAGTCAACTCGGCGAAGAACAGGCCGGAGCTCGGTAGCTCGTACATGCCACCGCTGACCGAACCCTACTACCGCGTACGCCCCGACTGTCCATCGGGACACAAGCCGTTCCCAGAGGGTATCTGCACCAAGTGCATGCCTAGCGCCATCTCGCTGAAGCCACAAGAGTACCGCATGGTAGATCACGTCGAGTTCGCCTCGATACAGGTGGTGGACGATGTGATCAACTTCTGGAGACAAACGGGCTGTCAGCGACTGGGCTTCTTGTACGGCAGGTATGAGGAGTATACTGAGGTGCCGCTGGGGACAAAGGCTGTTGTCGAGACCATCTACGAGCCACCGCAAGTCAACGAGGCGGACGGCATCTCGCTAGGCGAATGGGAAAACGAGAAGGAGATTGACGAGATCGCTGCACAGTGTGGGCTGCAACGCGTGGGGGTGATCTTTACCGATCTCCTCGACGCAGACAAGGGCGACGGCTCTGTCATCTGCAAGCGACACATGGACTCATACTACCTTTCCTCCCTAGAAATCTGCTTCGCAGCACGGTACCAAGCAAGATACCCCCGGCCTTCCAAATGGAGCGACACTGGACGACACGGCTCCAACTTTGTTACGTGTGTAATCAGCGGTGATGACCAAGGTCAAATTGGGATCTCCTCATACCAGGTTTCGAACGACGCCGTTGAGATGGTTCGTGCCGACATCATCGAGCCCTCAGCTGAGCCATCGGTGATGCTCGTCCAATCGGAGGAAGACAACGAAGCTTTGAACCGCGCGCGATACATCCCCGAGGTTTTCTACCGGAGGATTAACGAGCACGGTGCGAACGTACAAGAGATTGCCAAACCCGACTTCCCCGTGGAATATCTGCTTCTCACACTAACACACGGATTCCCTACTCAGCCAAATCCTCTCTTCACTGGTGGCAAGTTCCCGATCGAGAACCGCGAGGCTATGGGCGAGATGCCAGAGATCTCACATCTTGGCAAAGCTCTCAACGCCAGAGCCAACGGGCTGGCGCTCAACACGACCAGCGGCCTCAATGCCATTTCGAATTTCCACATGCTATGCTTTATTCATAACCTCGGCATTCTGTCAAAGGTGCGTCACTGCAAAACTGCATGGATATTTTGCTAACTGTACGACTAGGACGAAGAGTCATTGCTCTTCAAGGTAGCATCAACGCACGACACCTCAGAAGGCTCAGCGCTCCAACATACCGGAGGCTGGGCAACCCTTCTGACCATTCTCAAAGAAAGTGGTGAGCGCCCCCCGAAACGTTCCTATCAATCTTCGCCCCAATCCAAGTCGGCCAGTAGGGGGGCTGCAGCCTTAGACCACACCCGCGGTACGATGCGACAGTCCTCCTATGGCTCAGATTCCGATTCAGTACAGTTGGCTAAGAGGGTAAAGGGGGTTAAGCTTGGGAAGTAGATTAGTCTAGGCTAGTCACACTCCTGGGGCGCGACCTCTGACACCATAGGTCTGTAATCCGAGCGACAATGGAAACGCGCATGAAGTCTGGCTGTGGTGGGCATACTGGTGGAGTTGAGGAGCTTGGTATGAGCGGAGGTGCATGCATTGTCTGGCGTCGTCGCAGATTTCTAACATCTGGTGATCGGTCGAGAAGAACCAAGATGTGCAATATATCCGTTGAACTGTGTTGTTGACATCTTCTGACGTGAGACATGTCCGAAATCACCGATTGCTCTATGTAAATCGCTCAACCTATCTGGATTGTTAATATAGACGTGTGTTGTGGAAACTTTATACGGTATCTGAATCTTTCAGCATGATTGAGGAATGGCGAACTATTTTGTATGCCGCGATGATGATGAGTTTCGAGAAAGAAGACGTGGTCTGTGCAGAAACGTGAGTTCGCGGTCTCGCGTCGACGCGTCGCACTTTAGCAGTCCAGCTCAAACCCCAACCCCAACTCCTCAATCTCCACACAACCACCACAATGGCCGATTTCTTCAACGTAAAAGCGAGGCAACAAGCCGCTGCAAAGGCGAGCTCATCAAAAGCGCCTACCACAAAGCAAGAGCCCAATCGCATGCAGCCATGGGTTGAGAAATAGTACGAACGCAACACCCAAGCACGCCATTCCGCACCCTCACTAACAGCATCACAGCCGCCCCAAAACCCTCTCCGAAGTAACAGCCCAAGACAACACAATCCAAATCCTGTCCCGCACCATGCAATCCTCCAACCTCCCCCACATGCTCTTCTACGGCCCCCCAGGCACAGGAAAAACCTCCACGATCCTCGCCCTCGCCAAAGAACTCTACGGCCCCGAACTCATGAAGTCGCGCGTCCTCGAACTGAACGCCTCAGACGAACGCGGCATCAGCATCGTGCGTCAAAAAGTCAAGGACTTTGCGCGCCAGCAACTCAGCGTAGCGCCCACCTACAACGTCATGACGGAAGACGCGAGCAGCGGCGAGACAAAGACCGTGCGGTACAGAGATAAATACCCGTGTCCGCCGTTCAAAATCATTGTGCTGGATGAGGCGGATAGCATGACGCAGGATGCGCAGAGTGCGCTGCGTAGGACCATGGAAACGTACAGTCGCATGACGAGGTTCTGTCTCGTGTGTAATTACGTCACGAGGATTATCGATCCGCTCGCGTCGAGGTGTTCGAAGTTCAGGTTCAAGAGTCTGGATCAGGGAAATGCGGTTAAGCGCGTTGGCGATATCGCGAGGTTGGAGAACGTGCAGTTGGAAGAAGGGGTTGCGGAGGAGTTGGTCCGGGTTGCAGATGGCGATCTGAGAAAGGCGATCACGTTCTTGCAATCCGCGGCTAGGCTTGTTGGGGCTGTCGTCCAGGCTCAGGGTGCTGGGGGCAAAAAGAAGAAGAAGGTTGTTGCTGAGGACGACGAGATGGATATCGATTCTGCAGCCGCGCCGACTCAGACACCCGCTGTTTCCCTCCCCATCATCGCCGAGATCGCGGGTGTGCTACCCCCTGCTACGCTATCTTCCTTCAGCGACTCGCTCTTCCCCAAGTCATCGGCTACGAAGTCGATACGCTACAACGAGATTGCCAAGGTGGTGGAGAATATGATTGCAGAGGGGTGGAGCGCGTCGCAGACTGTGGGCCAGTTGTACGAACAGATTATGTACGATGAGAGGGTTGAGGATGTCAAGAAGGTTCGGCTTGCGGGTGTGTTTAGTGAGACGGATAAGAGGCTTGTGGATGGTGGGGATGAACATCTTGCTGTGTTGGATTTGGGAGTTAGGGTTGCGGGGGTGCTTTGTCTCTGAGGGAGTAGCGGCGCTGTCATGGGGTTTGTGTCTTCGTAAAGCATACTGCGTGCGGAACATGAAGAGACGTATTTGATTTCAGCAGTGTATTTGATGGAATAGTAACACTCATAGTAGCGTCTTCATTTACATGATCAAACAGAAAGCTACATTACATTCGTATCGTATCGTGTGGGGATATCTCAAAAAGGATATACAAAGAATAAACATGCGAAAGTACACGTTGTACTCCCGCTCAAAGCCCGTCGTATAGCGCTCAGCGCATGGAAGCCATCATCTCGTCATGCGGTCGGGCCCAGATCACCCAACAGCCAAAAATACTCCGCTTTTTTCCTACACATACAACTCCCAAAGATGCCCGTGAAAAGATAAACAAAGAATGCGGACCGATCGCAGCGTAGACTCATCGACGTTCGGTAGCGTAGTCGTGACAGGCTAAGCGAAGATGCAAAATCCAGCTCCGACACTGAACATGGCGATTGCGGCCAGTGTCTCCGTCCTGACCGCGAATCTGTTGCCAGTAGACGGTGAGTTCGATGGTGTAGCTGAAGCGCTGGCTGGAGTTGCAGAAGACGCTGTGGATGAGGCGCTTTCTGAGGACATTTCAGATGACGAAGGCGACACTACATCGGTGATTGTTGACGCCGACTGCGATGTTTTAGTAAGTGTGGTCTGTGATGTTGACATCGACGTCGTGAGAGAAGTATCGCTGGCGTTGGAAGACGACGACGCCGATATAGACACAGACGCAGATGCGCTTACAGAGGAAGACACGGATGGTGATGACAAAGATGATGAGGCAGAAGAGGAAGCACTCACCACCACCGTGTCCGTACTCTGCGCCTGACTCATAACACCCGCGCCCGCTTCTGACGTCGCAACCGCAGCAGCGGGATACAGCTCCGGCAACAGACTCTTGACATCTCCGGGTAATTTCTGGTACCAACTCGGCTCCATATCGCCTGTTGGCATGGGGGCGTTGGGGCCCGTGGGCATAGCTGTTTTAAGCACTGATAAGACCGAGAGGAGTGTTGGGTTCATGGTTGCGGGATCGATGGCGCGGTCTTGGAGGTTGGGGAAATGGATTGCTGATGCGAAGGCACCGGTGGAGGCGAAGGCCATGAGGATGGAGATGGACTTCATTGTCGTAAAGAGGTGTGCGGTTTGGGGGTGACTGATATGGGTGTTCAGATGGGTTGGCGTGGTGTTCGCGTGGCGGGTAAAAGAATGTGGGGTGATTGATTCTTGTTTGGAAGGATAATGAACGAGCGTGGGTTTTCAGTGAGAGCGAGTGTCGTGAATATAGTAGGTTGTTGTTGACAAACAAACGCGTGCAGTGGAGTCACTGCGATGCACGACTGCGAGCTTTTTGCGCGATATGACGTCGAATCGGGCGGGGAAAGAGTGCTCGGTCCCTCTGTTCAGTTTGACCGTTTGGGACGTTGAGAAAAAGAAAGTATCGTTGGGAACCGTTCAGTCAAGTCGTTATGTACCCGGGCTTCCTGAGCCGCCGTAGAAGTAGGAACGATTGTATGGCGCTTTGCTGGCGAAAATTCAAGATCGCAAGACCGATTGGAACGTGCAAAATTGTCTTTCACTGCGCTTGTAACCGTCTGAAATGGGGCAATACGATGATGGTGCTGCGCGAAGCCGTGTGTACGTCCAATGAGTGACCAAGTGATGAGATGTTTGATGAGACTCTGTGCGACTGTGCCACAAGAAAATTAAGTGACCTTCTGACGAAGACGCGGGTACGAAAAAGAAGAAGATGCGAGATGCGAGTCCCAGCGCGCTCGAAAGAGAGATAATCAAAGCAGGTGTTGAGATGCCTGGTAAACAAAAGCAACCCGCGAACCAGATTTGAAGCTGAGGGGAAAATTACCGAGCGGCTGGGTAGTTTGGACATGACATCTGAGGCATCGACCAACCCCAGCAACATACGTTCCGTGTCGCAGCCTTACCTCAGATGCGAACTCTCTAATGATACTCGCCCCCCTGTGCCGTCGGTTGTTGCAAGTTCGACGTTGCTTGCGCGCTAAGCCTCACCATGTCGGCGGCCATTGAAACATGCTCGTTGTTTCGGAACATTTCACGAACCGAAACGTGCGGCGCCTGATCAGTACTCATGAGGGTAAGGTACGGCGTGGGAACTGTTCTTAGAATAGTTCTTGCGGAGTGGCAGAAGTTTCTCCAGTGAGTGAAGTCCAAGTGTTGGCGCACATGCGCGTGATGGAAGGTTTACAAGAGACTCGGCGGTTTTTGAGCCATTTGCCGGCGGCAACATCGTGTCACTTTGAAGCCATCTGTCGGCCTCTTGGTCGTGTCTTTTGTTTGCTCCTCGTTTGGGCTGCATCAAGCTCGATTCCACGATGGAGGCGGACATAGAGACTGACCGACGAAAGGCGCACAGGAGGACAAGTATGGAATCGGAGATGATGAGGAGATGCAGCTAAAAATCACCTCATCGCGTGTCAGCGCTTTGCGTTCAGTATTATGCTCTTCTGACTGGCCCCATCCACCCGTGGACGGTAAGTTACGCGTCCAGGAAGCCTTCTCCCGAGCAGTGTTCACATGCGACCCGTCCCAAGCTGGAGGTGTGCTGTCGGTGGTTGCGGACTCCGGAGAATCGAGAGAGTTGATGCGAGCGCAAATGAGATGGAAGACCAGGGTTCCCCGCGGAGGTGCTATCCCAAAGCAGACGAACCTCGGCATCCCTTCCCACGACGCCACGCATGATGTTCGCTCAGGTACGAACGTGACAGTGTGCGATTGTCGACTAAGGCAGGTGCTAATCCACACGGCGTCTCTGGATAGGCTTGGTGCTTGGGCGACCGGCATATAAGATGCACTGCACATGGTCGCCCCAACTAGGACGGTACCCACCGCTACCAATCACTATAGCCCCGCGATAGCTGTCGAAGCTCCCGTCTTCTCACGACGAAGTCGCATCGTACCAAACTACAGTTCTACCAACAAACATACTAGGCAAAATGGCAGCTCCAGCAAGTGCCGATATCAAAAAGCTCGAGGGGAAATGGGTCATGGTAAGTTCTAAGCAGCTTTCACGTCATGGTGTTCTTTGCATACCTTCCTCATTTCGTGCATCGCAACATCGCTCTAACAAATCCTAGAACAAGTCCCTCTCGGATGCGTTCGACGCCGTCCTCGCCCTGCAGGGCATGGGCTGGCTGACGCGCAAAGCCCTCGGCGCAGCGACCGTAACCCAGCACCTGTACCAAACCACCATAGACGGCGAAGACAACACGCCAACGACAGAAATCAAAATCGACCAACTCATAACCGGCGGCATCAAGGGGTCTACTGAGACCCGCATTCTAGACTGGCACTACCGCGAGCATGTCGACCGGCTCTTCGGCACCGTCAAGGGACGGTCGCGCTACATCGCCCTAGCCAAGGCAGTCGAAGAAGGAAAGGCTGCGGGCGTGAGCGAGGAAGATGCAAAGTTTGTGTCGGAAGGCTGGTTGAAGGAGACAGAAGAAGGAGATGTTGTTGAGAGCTTTGTGGAAAACGAGGCGAATAAATGGACTGCATGGCAGATTTGGGGCTTCGCGGATATTGGGGGTGAGAGGAAACTGACGAGGAAGTTTGTGGTTAGGAAGGTCGGAGGTGATGAGGTTGTTAGGGTTAGGCTTGTATATGACTACACTGGCGCGTTGGACCAGACGGCTTAAGTTGCAGGTTTGTACATCCCCGTTAGGTCGACCAAAGAGCTATCATTCCTGATCTGATCTGAGCGTTGTCTTGTGCGTGTCATGGCAAGGCCTCGCCCTTCAAACAGGCTATGTTGTCCCTCGAGTCGATGAAGCGTCGTGCAAGTTCTCTCTCCCATAGTATGTACCACTTTGCACAACACCACACGACCACGAAGCAGATTAGCCGGACCCTCGTACAGTTGAGCTCATGCATGGATACAGAATCCTTTTACTGGTCCGGCTGTCTGATAAAGAGCTCTCTTAGTACCACGCAGATTAGTGGCTACGTACCATGCTGCACCTGACAGGCTTAAGTACTGCGGTATACCTCTCGCAGCAGGCGCCACAACATCTGCAACTCTCTACATTCTGTCCTTTTGCAGGCGTTGGTGCAAATCGACATTTTCCCTATGGGCACGTTCAACATGGCCGATACGAGCTTTCTGACGGATCTCTTTCTTGCCCTCATCGTTTTGACATCTACGATTCTCATCCTGATGCTGGCTTGCCTCGTCATCCGCCTCATCAACCGACACAAGAAAAAGGCCAGTCAACAACCAGTCCATGAGCCCACTCTACTCGATCTCGAATCCGGTCGAGAGTCCCGCCTATCGCATCGCCTGTCGCGGCAACAGATACAACAGGAGCACTACGAAGACCTACAGCAACGCTACTCGTCCGTACCGCCATCACCGTCAATCGAATTACTCCCCGAGATAAAGACGAGTGCAAGTGATGATAGAGCGAGCGAGTGGTTGGAGCGCGGAGTTACGGACGAAGGCATCAATGTGGTTCATGGGGATTTGGGGGAGAAGAAGTCGGAAATGACACAGGCGGTGGTGGTTAGGCCGAAGAAACAGTTGAGGTGGGAGTGGAGGGATGGGAAGGTGGATAACGGCGCTGTACCGAAGAGATCTAGGGTCATTGAACGGACGGATAAGGATGGGATCGTGTGTAGGGAGTATCGGACGGAATGAGAGAGTGGACAAAGATTTGGTGGAAGCATCTAGAGGTAATTGTAATGAAGAAGGTTTCGAGTAATGTGTTCTCTCACTATCTCATGTCAGCATCTGGAAGATACTGGCATAGTTGAAGGAACGTTGGCACGTGGAGATATCGTGCGACTGATCCAAAGTACCTTCCTAGCTGCGCCTGTATTCATCGCACGACTGTGGTATAAAGCCGCTTGCATGCTGACGTGGCTCGTCATCTTAGGCCAGAAGCACACAGTAGGACTTATGTCCGCAAGGGTAGCCATGACAGCTGGTACGCGTCCTGTCAACTCCATGGTAGCTCAGGCTGGACTGTAGGATTGGTGTGAACACAAGTAAATCCTGTCTGCTGGTAGCACTGTTGTCATATCCTACCTATAGCCAGTGACATTATAGGCGTTGTGTGACGGCGAAGACTGGTGTCTAGTTCTGTGTTTCCCCCTTTACCCGAGTCCGGATCGTACAAATCATACGCTGAGCTCCATAGACCAGCAAGCAAACACAGTACCTTCGATCTATGAAACCTTGGGATTTCAGACACTCTCGACATCGACGGATTCTGACAATGTGTATCATGGCGAACATTGGAGGAGACCATATTGATGTCGACACGCATCCGTACCCTGATATGCCGGAAAGCTTCTACGGCAAGGCCTCGGAGGTTCTCAATGCGGACGTTGGTTCCCGAGAGAGTGGCCACGCGAACTCGCTGATTGTCGACACACCAATGACTACGCACCTCACCTCAACAACGCACTCTCATCATATGCAACCTTCGTCGTTGGCTCAATTCATACCCCCTGCCACGTATAGGGATGCAACCCCAGAACACACACGTCCTATTGGCGCCATCTCCGTGGTTGTCCTCGCTGGTATCATCGGTCTTGCAGTCCCAATCACCCTCTTGACACGGTACCTGAAACGCGCCAGACAGGAAACGAAGCAGATGGAGGAAGAAGACGCGGTCTTGGAGGATGTGTTATACCGCAGTAAACTCAACGAAAGAGCGTGGAATGTGGGGTTGAAGCGACTGCACACGGCCTCCATTAGGAAGTGGTCCAACGAAGAAGCCAGTGTACAGTTGGTGGGTGTGTTTGGGCGGCCGAACTTGGATACGAAGACACCCTGGCAAGGCTGTACGGAGCGCGAGATGCTGGAGAAACTATTTGAGCGGGAGAATAGGGTGCGTAGAGGTAACAGGGAGAAACCATTGCCAGATTGCCCGAAGTGATATCGATAGCGGCGAGACCGTTGGAATTGATAACCGGTGATGCGCCCATCGAGCAGCAATTGTCAAGTACGAGTAAGCGTAAGCGTATGCTACATGCATTTGCCTGTTCTTGGGGCGTCTGTTTGAAGTTTTGGGTAGTGAACAGTATGCAATTCAAGAAAGGACTGCAAGACGAAAGACATGGGTCCTCCAGGCATGTATGCGGCTTCATTAACGATTCGCATGGAATTAGTACAAGATAAGATTTGTGGCGACCTCAAATAAGGAGAGAGCTGAATGGGTCTGGAGCCTACACTGATATTGGGTCGCCTAATTTGCAAGTTTTCATCTTGATGTAGGTTCCATGGTGTTTAGAGTTTTCCTTGAATGAGGTGTGGCTGGTTGCTGTGGTGAAATAGTGAGGCGGTCTTGATGTCCGGAGATGTCTGAGGATGAAGAAGAACAGAGACAACGGTGACCGTAGACAGAAAGCGTACGTAAGCTCGCATTAGAGTGGTCTGCATCGAAACTCGACTGCACGTCGATCAGCGGAGATGCAGATGCAGGGGTGAAAGACGTTGCCCAGCGGTAAGAACGTGGTAAGACGGTTACGCTAGGCTGCAGCCGAGTTAGCGTAGAAGCTTGGATAATCGACCAAATTTCACGACTGGGTAAACAAGAGCTGTTTGGGTTCATTTACTTGAACTATTCTTTCTCTCGCTCGATAATCACACGCCCGACGCGCCTGAACACGAAATCCTGCATCTAAGCGCTCCTTCTCCCATCCACGACTGCGACTTCCCCCCAAAGCAGCTGCCCGCCCCGCTCGCTTCTACCACCCGCCGACACCCCACTGACGACCTCGGAGCACACGAGCTCCTCACACCACCCTACGCGCACCATGTCGGGCGAATTGGATATCGACTTTACGCGCCGAAACAAGAAGCCGCGCCCGCTCTCGGACCACGAGAAGGAAAAGCTGGATGAATTTGTCGACGCGATCCATTACTCGGCGAGGTGGGTTGTCAACACAAGAGGCGGTCAGCGCGTTTTCTTTATTGACCGCGAACACAGATACTCGGACGACGCATACGAATACCGCCATGTGCAGCTGCCTAAGCAAATGCTGAAGGCTATCCCAAAAGACTACTTCGACGGCGCGCGAGGCACACTGAAGCTGCTATGGGAGGAGGAATGGCGGGCACTGGGCATCACACAGGTACGCGTGGTTTTGATACAGGCTGCAATTTATATGCTGACTTGGGAACAGAGTTTGGGATGGGAGCACTACGAGGTCCATGAGCCAGAACCTCACATTCTGCTTTTCAAGTACGTTGTGTGAGAGCATACGCCGCGCGCTGCCAGCTAATTCTCCAACAGGCGACCGATCAACTACCAGCCTCCCATGCACTGATCCAACATCGAACCGCGGCGCAGCCAGAGGTCTACTTCACATCGACCGAACACGCGCAACAGCTGCGCACACCACCACGGCACACGAGACGGCCTATTCGCGATACCTTCTTTATCCATTTCCAGCGAGGCGCGCTAAACATAACGACGATATGATTACGGTGGTATGATCGATGCGCTGGGGTTGTAGGTTTACGACCGGGTCGAAAGCGCGTCTCTATATCCATTATGATAGGGTACCCGAAGCCCACAATTGTACATATGGCCGAGGCAGGAGGTGCAAGGAGTACTGGACATTGGGCAAGAGAATATGGATTAGGTATATGGTTGTTAATTGCTATGCGGATTTATGATAGATCCATAGCTCCTTCACCTGGTCCAAATTTGATACTTGTTGAAATGACCATTTTGCACCAGAGTGCCACGAAGAGCGCAACTTGACGTATGCATACTCATACGGACCGAATCTAGCGTGTTCCACACCCTCCTCGCTTTCTGGTATACCCACATGTCAATCTCGGTCCCTGCGTAAGTTTTTCTTGACCTAGTTGCTTGTGTTTACATGATGGGGAAGAGAATCTTGAGTCAACCCCAACAGCGAACATATGCGAACAGGCCAACATCAAGCACCATGGCAACGCCTCCATAGGCCCCGGTGCTTTCTTCGGACGCGGGAGCAAAATGCTCGTTGTCGCTCCGTGCTAGATAGTGTCCATTGCGGCCATTTAGAACCTGGGTTTTACCGCAATATCAATCTAGAATCTGAGGAAGTTCAACCTATGAGTAGATCTTGAAGATCAATCAGCCCGAATCCAAGGTTACGATAGATTGCCGGTCTCAAGAGTAAGCTAGTGGCAAGGAGATGCTGACTGTAGATTCACGACAAATTGAGGGTTCGTCATCCTACACGTATTCCTGCAGCGGTGGCTAAAGATTGATGTTGTGGGCTTAGGCTTCGTCTACGATGTGTTGGCACTTTGTTACCTGGGCATTGTCAAGGTATACCTGGCTCCTTTTATATGCTCAAGCAGACACGACGTAAGAACTCCAACGGCTAAGAGGCAGGTTTTTGGACTACCGAGTCAAGGACTCTCGCATACATCCAGTGGAACTGCGCGAAAAAAGGTTAGACTGACTCTTCAGAGGGCGCAATATGTAGTCGTGACGACGGAGTGGATGATTCACACTCCGGAGAAAAGCGGCCCGACTTTCCCTGAGATGTCATCAGCCTGGGCAGAATCCACACCCTCTAGTCTCTCACATGCGGATCTGCGCTTAAAGATCTCGTAATGTCAACCACGAACCCATGGTCTTTCAAATCTACATGCGGTTGAGCGGACGGATTTCATTCCGGTACTTAGGCCAGTCGCATCAAGCCGGCGATGAGGGGAATATTGGGATCTGACTTTCTTTACGGGCCTTTCGACAACGACCTCCAGTACTCGGAGGAGGATATATCGTTCCGTTGTTGAGAGATTAAAAGGTAGTTTAAGCGAGGACGAATGTGGAAGTACTGGGCGTGCTGCTGGGTATCCATCTGTCATCCCGCAGCATCGCAACCCAAGTCTGAGGTCGCTGGCAGTGCGAGGCTAAGCCTGCGTTTTACGTACACTGGCGTAGATCGCATCCGATTTTCCAGCCTTCTTCGGTCTTGGGAGGTTTGGCGGCGCCGCGGTTCTTCACCCAGCCTCCCTGAATCGCGTCAACGGCGAAAAGTGCTATGACATCAACGGCAAGATGCAACGGCAAGATGCAACTCGCTGACTAGGATTGGCGGAGATATTCGGGTCCTGCGCACTGCCGGTGGTCGGAGCGGAAAGCGTTTTGCCTGAAGTGCGAGCGGTGAGAAACGAGACCAGGGGCAGAGCGGAGCGGAGATCGCTATCGAGGGGTCATATGCTAAGTATGGCAGTAGGGCTTGTGGAGAACACGCGACACGTGCGGAGGCCGTTCATACCATTACCATGGATACTGGCATGGTCGGGCGAGCTGCCTTGCGATGAGGCGGCTCGTGCAAACCTCGGAATGTGGCAAAATGTCGGATCCCTCACGTCGTGCCATGTGCTGTCGAGGCTGCCAACAAGAAAAATTCAGCGGTGCAACTGTCAGCTGCAAGGTCCCTCAAACGGTCGTCAACTGTTTACCAGTGCTAGGCGAGCGATAATGATGCGTAGCCGTGGGTGACGTGCATGCGCCAATACTAAAACTATGGAGTATGGTAACGAGTACATAAGAGTAATTCCTCGAGACAGTTAAACTGGATCCTGTGTAGTACAGACGCACAGATAAGCAAGAGCTGGAGTAATGGAAAGATCACATTATTCAGGTGGGGGAAGCCATGCACGGCAGCCATTGGCCCACCGCAAAGTCCTTATCTCTCGGCTGTACGTAAGATAGAATGCAGGAAGCCGCTAGAGCCCATCCAGCTTACCTCCAAGCAACATCCGTGCACCCTGCATCTTGAAACCCATCCCGAGCACATGTCTGCCACAAAAGACTCTCGCAGCGCGCTCTCCAGCGACACTCCAGTATATACGACTGCCACCCCCGATTATGCGCCTGCTTTCTCCCCACACAGGGTTCTAGGTCTCCAAGCTCCAAGGCCAGGCTGATCCCGCCATCCCGCCCGCCTCCGCCCATCCTCTACTTCTTTCGTAGACCTTCAATGACGGCGCGAACCATCAGTCACCTCATACTCCTCGCCGCCGTTACCGGCAACCTAGGGCCCTAAGTAGGACTCGTCTGACTGTCCATTGGATTACCCAACTGGATTTGCATTTCAGGGATATCTCCCATATACCGATTGAACTACCTATCTCCCACGCGATAAGACCTGTCACGAACCCTGCTTCCGATAGCGAGATACTTGCACCCTGATTCGGAAACTAGCCAACGGGCCGTAGTCTATCATAGCCTTATCGCACCCTTCCACCACGCCAGCTAGCCATGACGGCCGTAGCAATGCAGCAGCCGGCTATGGGCCCACGTCCTGTTGTCTCTATAGCACCAGCTCGTCCTCGCACGATACAGAAGTCACCATCCAGCAAGGAGAGCTTGAGCAAGCCCACGTCCAACAACGGTCCAGTATCTAACATCCGCTCACGGAGGGAACGCCCTTGTGACGCGTGCCGAAGGAGGAAGAGCCGCTGTGTGATACACGAGGGCGCTGCTTTGTGTGTCCTGTGCGAGTTCCACAAGCAGGAGTGTACATTTGTACAAAGCCCACTGCCGCGGAAGAGGAAAGTCGTCGACGGTGAGAAGAAGGACTCGCCAAACAACACCAAGAAGAGGTATGTTTAGGCCACCCCGCTACTGCTTCACGTCCACGGCTCGCGTAGATATATCACTTCCGACATCTGCTATGCCTCTTGCGTCACGCTACCAAGTCACGTGCGCATGTGCAACCTACTTGCTTTTTCATCCCGCATGTGGTCGTGGCACCGGGAGCTGTGGCCCTCGCCAGGCATTCTGGCTCGTCGGCGTATAGCTGGATGTCGTGCTGACATCCTCTGGCAGATCCGTCGACTCAGATCCTCCGCCATTAGCACTATCAACACCCACCATCACAGCAACTGCGCCAAGTCCCCCACCACCTCAACCCTCATTATCTCAAATAGCGAGTCTTCATCTGCCTCAATTTGGAGAGACATTAGGGCTGCAACGACGCCAACATAGCAGATACATCGGTCTGAGTTCTCCATTCGATTCGCTGCTCATTGGCCTATCACAGTTCGACACCCGTAACGAGTCGACCTTCGACCTTGGTACGCTTCGACGTGTGAACGATCATGAATGTTTCATTATGCTACCTGACGAGAACACACAAGACTTCGCCGGCGAGTCTGAGGCGTTGGGTCAGGTCGAGCAGCTTGTGCACCCACATGGTCCTGCTTTACTAGATCTTTACTTCCAAGTAGTACATCCAAACTACCCCATCATCCAGAAACATCTGTTTGTCGAGCGGTATCGCAGAGGCGATCGAGGTTTTTCGCCAGCCTTGTTGGCTGGCATGTACATCCTGGCGCTCAACTGGTGGTCTCTCGACCCCAAGCTAGCAAACTACTCCCGACCTGATGCAGCGCGGCTAGAAGCGATTGCTATGAAGGCGCTCACACTGGCTATGGAGCGACCTAAACTGTCGACGATACAGGCTGGCTTGTTGTTGCTGCAACGTCCTGAAGCGGACTCTTGGAGCTTGACAACACAGCTGGTGGCCATTGGTCAAGAACTAGGCCTGCATCTCGACTGCTCATCATGGTCAGTGCCTCTCTGGGAGCGTGGCTTGAGGAAGCGCATCGCATGGGCGTTGTACATGCAAGACAAGTGGAGCTCACTCATCCACGGCCGGCCATCGCACATCTTTAATGCCAACTGGGCGGTGAAGCCGATTACAGAAGACGATTTTGTTGAAGAAGGAGATGGATACGAGACGCGCCAGGAAGAATCTGAAGAGGAGCAGGTAGAGAGCCACCGAGGCCGGATACTGTTTGCCCAGATGATTGGGCTCACGCAGATCATGGCTGAGGTCATGGACACATTTTACACCCAAACGGCGATCCACGACTTTGCCAATGCGGGGAGAAAGTCGACCGAGTTGATCCTCGCACGAGCCAAGCCTGTGCAAATCAAGCTTCGTCAATGGCACGAGAAGCTACCCGCAGAGGTCAAGATGAACGTTCCCGAGAAGGGCAAACTCACCTCTACGGGCTATCTGCATCTCGCGTACTTTGCGACGGAGATTACACTGCACAGGCGCATAGTGCAATCGCTCGACTCCACCAACCCCGACTCTTACGGTCTCTTCATGTGCCGCAACGCCGCGAAGACGCGGCTAATTTCTGCTATGGACTTTGTGAACCGTCTGAAGCCGGAGCATCTGCAAGGTTTCTGGTACTTTGCTTCCAAAGTCAACTTTACGCTCATTGGCACCTTTGGGTCGCTGCTATGGGCTACGGCACCCGCCAAGGAGGAAGCCGAGTTCTACAAGCTCAGGCTATGCGA